GCACCCCCTCATGCAACGGTAAAGGGTTTAGGCCCAGAAGCGTCAAGGTTGATGAGGCTTGCGGGCGTACGGGTCCGCTGAATTCACAGGCTAAGCAGTTAGGTGAACCCTGATTACAACGGTAACGTGTCCTAGACAAACGGAACAAATGTCCTCCATGGGCTCATAGGCCACGCCTTAGCTGGCTACTAACCAAATACTGCCCACAGAAAAACTCCGACATGAGTCGAAGGTTTGAGGCCTCGCGAGATATAATATAGGGGCCGAAATAATGACCTATACATTTTTTTGGAAGGATCCTTATGATATTTATAGTATTATGGGCCCCAATTATTCAGGCCCCTACATTGGGCTTGGCATCCCTGCGGCCACCGCAACAGTCACAGTTGAACGGATACCGCCCAGGCACCGTGCTCGAACACGGCGGGCCTCAAATGCCACGTGGCTTAGTAACTCGCAATACGGCTTTGGAGATTGTACTTTCTCGAAAAGGGGCGTATGGGGGAGTCTAGAGTTTAATCGGAGTTGGGTCTTTGTCATTGCTTGTCGTTATGCTAATTATGCTGTGCTGAATGCATGCCACCAACGTGCCGAAGGCACTCCACTTGAAATCAGATCTGATATGGGAGCTGTAAGTGTGAATAAGCATCTGAAAATTTCGAGCAGTTGCCTAGTAGGTTTTCGGGGACAGGATCGTAACATAACCTACTTCGTAAGTGGACTAGATGAGCCGTCGTCAGTCTAATCACCAACTGGCTGATTTTTGCCTGTATCCGTGAAACCCTGCTCACGAAGCCAAACGATAGATACCAACAGAATACAAACCACGGAATCAGGTTTGCATACATAAACCCTATAAGCCCAAAATCCCAAAGCCAAAGCCGTAACTCCTAAACTCCACACAAAGCAACCCCTGTAATTTGCACCTAATTAGCATCCTTCGCATCTTTTCTCCTCTGAGTTCCTACACCCGAAACCCCTGAGCCCTAAACGCCACTGAACCCGAAACCCCAAACCCGAAACGCCACTGAACCCGAAACCCTTTACTCTGAAACCTGACCGACTTCTCTACACCTTCTGACTCCTGACCCCCCGAAGCCCTCCAAGAAAATCTCGCAAGCCTAGCCCTAAGCCCTACTTTCTAAAGAACCCAAAGCCATGCCGCCAACAAGTCCCTGCCAAATCTCAGACCGATGAAAATGACCACGGCCCTAAACCCTAAACCCTTGACTGTCAGCTGCTGCAGCCTGTGAGCCTACACACTAAAACCCATACCACAAACCCCAGACCCGAACCCTTAGCGTCAAAATAGCCCGAAAGCCTTTTATAATAATTAGGGTCCTTGGACCCAAAAGCCTTAAAATATGAGTCCGTTGAGGGTAAGGGGAAACGCTCAGCGGCCACCGAGGTGCGTGGCCACGTAGACATCGCCAGGATTCAGTGCGAGCGTGGTGAGATCTGCAGCTGGTAGCCTTGGTTGGAAAACTTCCATGCTCTTCCCTAAGGGTCCATGTACCCAAATAGTATATACATTGGCCTTAATGTAGTCCCTATATAGGTACTTTAAGGCTCATGTATATGCTATATGAGTACATGGACCCTTAGGGCTCTCTTGCTAGAACCCTAACCCTCCAGGTACCTACTATTATAGGGTACTAGAGCCCCTAGGGCCCTATATAGTAGGTACCTGGAGGGTTAGGGAGAAGTGTTACCATATCCGCCACATCCCAGAACGTGTCATTGAAGCTCGACGGAATCGTCTTGCTAGTATCTTATTCATGCTGCCAGACAGACGGGTGAACAAGAAATGATGCTAAAATTCGATCTGTCAACTTCTCTGGACTTAGCCTGATATTATATATAGCCTTCCCAAGCCGCAAAGGCTAAACGCCAAAACCCCAAACCCCAAACCCAACGCAAACCAACCCTAAACCCTAAACCCACACCCCTAAATCCTAAACTCTAAGCCCTAAACCCTAAACTCTAAACCCACAGCCCTAAACCCTAAACTCTAAACCCAAAGCCTTAAACTCCAAGCCCTAAACCCTAAACTCCGGGCACTGTGGGAACATGGTGGCCGCGTGGCCTCTGCCAGGCCTCTTCGTCCCAAACGCTTGGATCAGGCCCTGAGGCCGGTTGGCTCAGGGCTTAAAAGGGGTTAGGGGTGAGGGTTTAGGGTGAGGGTTTAGGGTTTAGGGTTTAGGGGTTTAGGGGTTTAGGGGTTTAGGGGCTTCGGGTTTAGGGTTTAGGGTTTAGGGTTTAGGGTTTAGGGTTTGGGATTGAGTTTAAGGTTCCATGTACCGATATAGTGTATGCTTAGGCCTTAGGCAGGTTCGTATATGGTACTTTAAGGTGTAAGTATATACTGTATATGAGCCTGAGGGTTAGGGTTTGGGATTCAAGGTTTAGCATTAAGGATTTGGGGCTTCGGGTTGTTTTGGCTTAGGGCCATGAGACCACAGGCAATGCTGTAGCCTGGAGGGTTGAAACGGTTAAGGTTTAGGGTTTAGGGTTTAGGGTTTAGGGTTTAGGGTTTAGGGTTTAGGGTTTAGGGGTTAGGGTGTAGGGTTTGTGACCTATATCCCCCCATGTACCCCTTTATAGCCCAAATACATATTAAAACAGGCCCCCTGGGTTCCATGCAGAGCATGTTGATGTTTGTGTGGGGGGTCAGGGGTTTTACCTAATCCAGAGAACACCTATCACGTTGGGATTCTGGTTTTTAAGTTCCTTATGTAGGGCCTTAGCAAGAGTAACTAAGTTGTTTCATTCTGCAGTGAAGATTTTGCAAACCGGTTTAGTGTTGGTCGGGGATGTATCCTTGGGACTATTTGTTTCACACGCTCTTCCGGCTAACCCGTAGCTCATCAGACTCCGATGAGGATTAAATTGCGGAAGCAACAAGATGCAACCTACTACATATAATGTCATGGAAACCCTTGCAAGAAAAACTCTGCAATCCTTTTGTGGACGCCTTATAAACATTTGGTAAAGTCCGTACAAAGCCTGTGTGAAGCCTTGACGCTTTGATAAAAGCCAACGAACCCCTGTACAGCCAACTGAAAACTAAAAGCCCAGTCGAAAGACTCAGCTTCATAGTCCCTAAAACCTAAACCCTTAACCCTAAGCCCTAAACCTGAAAGACCCAGCTTCATGAACCCTAAACCCTAAACCCTCAATCTTAGGCCCTAAACCCTAAACCCTAAACCCTAAACCGGAAGGGCCTGCAGCTGGCTCCGGGGAACGGTGCAGGCCGAAAGAGAGGTAACGACGACCCTGTAGCGAAAGACCTCACAAGAGCGAGGAGAATGCATGCGGGGTTTAGGGCGTAATAACTATAGGGGCCTTAATAATTGGAATAGAGTTTTGGGGGGGTATACTATACTGTAATCATAATAAGGAGCCCCCAAAACACTATTCTAATTATTAAGGCCCCTCTATTAGGGGTTTAAGGGCTTAGGGCTTAGGGTCTAAAGTTAGGGGTTGTCTAGGGTTTACGAGCTCAAACAAGCCTTAGAGTTCAGAGTTTTTGTCCTTTATGCGCCCCTTTTCTCGTCGTTCAACCCGTAGGATGTAAGGTTTAGGGCTTGGGCCTCGGAAAGCTCAGGGGGATTTCGGGCGTTGGAAGGCTTCGGGGATTGGCCATTCGGTGCGGATGTTTCTTCTTTTTGGAGTGGGGTTTATGGGTTTAGGGTTTAGGGAGTTTACGGTGTAGGAGCTTAAGGTTTAGGGTTTCGGGGGACTACTACTTGGACCCTAAGCCCTAAGCCCTAAACCCAAAGCCCTAAGCCCTAAACCCTAAACCCTAAACCCAAAGCCCTAAACCCTAAACCCTAAACCTTATAAACCCTACAACCCTAAACCCTAAACCTTATAAACCCTAAGCCCTAAGCCCTAAGCCCTAAACCCTATAAACCCTAAACCTTATAAACCCTAAACCCTAAACCAAAACCCTACAACCTAAACCTTAAGCCCTAAACCCTAAACCTTATAAACCCTGAAACCTAAACCAAGCCCTGGGCTCTGGCCTATCTGGAGGAGGCCGGATGCACCATCGCGGTGGGATCGCATGAACTGCCACTCCTGCGGTCTTTATTGGGTTCAGGGTTGAGGGTTTAGGGTTCAGGGTTTAGGGTTGAGGGTTTACGGTTTAAGGGTAGGGTCATGGGGTTAAGATGGGTTTACGGTTCAGAGTTATAGGTTGTAGGGAGGAAATAATGGGTCTAGGGCTTCATAAAATTAGTATTTAGGGTAGGGTCATAGGACTGAGATGGGTTTAGGGCTTTATAAAATTAGTCTTTAGGGTAGGGTCATAGGGCTAAGATGGTTTTAGGGCTTTGGGGTTGTAGGTCATACGATTAAGATGGGTTAAGGTCATTAGCGTTGTAGGTCATAGGGTTAAGATGTGTTTAGGGCTTTGGGGTTGTAGGGTTTAGGTTCAGCAGCTATTTTTCGGATTTCGGGGTTTTACAGTTTCAGGTGCGTGGCTTAGGGCTTGCGGCTTGTGCCATCGCGTAGGGTTTAGAGCTTCGGATTTTTCCAGGGGTTTAGGGTTTAGGGCTTAGGGCATGCATTCAATGCTTGGCTCAACGAGTGTAGACTTCATGCCTCACTCGCCTCACCAAGCAAATTGTCGCTTAATGTATGACGCCTTATGATTAGAATAGGGTTTTGGCGTATATTATAAACTATAATCATATTATTTGGTGCATATTATGCTATACTCATAATAAGGAACACCCAAAATAGTATTGGTGATTACTTAGCTCCTATACTAGCTGGGGGCCTCTGGGAGAGTGTGTTTCTTCCACCGGGAATCAGCCTAAGAGCTGGTGGGGATTTCCTCCTTGTAACCCGAAGCCCCATATCCAGGAAAGATTTGGGTTTAGGGTTTAGGGTTCGCCAAATACAAACCTGAAAACGTGAAAAGCAAGATCTAGCGTCTAAACCCTGAACCCGACATGGGGGTTTCCGAAAATAGGGGACCCTAACATAGTACCCTAAATAGTAGGATCCTTATTATAAGGACCCCCAAAAAGGTACTCCTTATTTTCGGAAACTCCCACATAAGCCCCGAAAAGCCTCTCTTCTACCTTTAGCCCACGCCTCCGCTGCGTGCTGCCACTGTGCTTCAATGCAGCCCAGGGCTTCCCGGTGCGGGAGAGAGCCCTGGTTTAAATTTAGGGGTTTAGGGGTTTAGGGGTTTAGGGGTTTCGGGTTTAGGATTTAGGGTTTAGGGGTTTAGGGGTTTCGGGTTTAGGATTTAGGTTTTAGGGGTTTAGGAGTTCAGGGGTTTCGGGTTTAGGGGTTTAGGGGTTTCGGGTTTAGGATTTAGGGTTTAGGGGTTTAGGGGTTTAGCGGTTTCGGGTTTAGGATTTGGGGTTTAGGGGTTTAGAGGTTAGGGTTTTAGGGGTTTGGGGTTTAGGGTTTAGGAGTTTAGGGGTTTAGGGTTTAGGGTTAGGTCTAGCGGTGCACATTCAGGGCTGAAGGGTTGCAGGGTTCAGTTTTGCAGGCTTCGGGGGAGGCTGACATTGTAGGCCAGAACGAGCATCAACACGACCACGTTGTCTGTTTTTTAAGTTTCGACGGTTGTGTTGGTCGAAAATCACTTTGAGCTTTGATGAGACCGTCTGGGCTGCTGGAAGGTCAATAAGTTTGAAGGGTTCGCGCTACAGGGTCCACTTAGAAGTATACGAGTTCACAAGAATTCAAGTGTGGTTTAGGCTACATGTGTACTCCCCAGCAGACACAGAAGCAAAGGGGTGTCTACCAAGGCTCTATCTGGATGATTGGTTGTACTCTCGCGGAACCCTCGACAGCCGGAAAACAGGCGAGCTGAAGATCAACATGTAAGACATCTCACTGAAATAAACGTGCTTGCTCATTTGCTTAAGCGTCACACCCCAAACAGTACTCCCAAGTCCAACTCTTAAACCCAAGTTAAACCCAATTTAAACTGAAACCCAACCCGAAGAATCCCTAACCCTCAAGCCCAAGCGCTCCAAAGCCCCGATCCCCCCCAAACCCCGACACCTTCGAACCCCCCCCACATCCGACAGCCTCGTGGCCGAGCAACGAGCTACAAGGAGTTCGGAAACACCTGGAACGCCGCAGCGCCTGAGGGTTAATGTAGGGGCCTGAATAATTAGCATAGTGTTTTGGGGTATGTTATACTATAAATATACAACGAAACACGTAACCCCCCAAATAAAACAGTGTAGGCCCCTATATTGGGGTTTAGGATCTTGACCCAAACCCCAATAAAGTGAAGTTGTAGCTTTCGGCTGGCGATCCAATAGCCTACGGCTTTAAATTAAAGGTTAGGTCTCAAGCTTTAGGGTCACAACCTATAATTAAGGAGTCATAACTCTACATCCACATGGCATGATTTAGGGGGTGAAGGTTGCAGGTCGCGTACGACTGCTACATTTTTCCTTTGACTACCCGCTTGGAGTCGTGAGAAGAATTCTTAACAACAGCAACAACAACAACAAC